ACACACACACACACACACACACACACACACACACACACACACACACACACACACACACACACACTAAACCTCACCCCCACCCCTAACCCAAACCCCACCCCCTTCCACACATCCTTCTCCAGTGCTCTGGGCCGTGGTGAACAACGCTGGCGTGGCGTGCCACGCAGAGTTTGAGTGGATCCCGAAGAGATCGTTCCAACACACGATAGACGTGAACATCCTGGCAGTGGTGAACGTGACCAGGGCCTTCCTGCCTCTGGTTCGAGCCGCCAAAGGGAGGATTGTCAACATGGCAAGCATGGCTGGTGAGCAAGAAACATTTACTGAACATGTAGCTGAACTCTTTCCGCAGTAACATAGTTCACGTTTTATTCAAAGTGACTAGGGGTTTTACACAGGTAAGCTCGAGAGAAATATTGACACTGGTCTTTAACCTAAACTCGCCCAAAAAAGTCAAGGAAAAAACTTGTGTTTTCATCTGTCAATTTTAAACTTCAATATCTCACAAACCCGTTAAGATCAGTCAACCAAACTTGGCACACGCACTGACAACTAGACAGTTGGCCTGTGCAGCAAATTTGCCCGCACCAGCTTCACAGTGACGGTGCAGGACATTCTGAAACACAGCCAAAAAGCATGAAAAATGGGCTAAATTTCTCTGACTCAGCAACATTGGCATAGGGACTGTTAGCTAAAACTAAGCTTGGCACGTGCTAAACAGATGTCTTAGCTGTGAATATTGCTCGCTCACAGCCTTTATAAGCCAGCGTTTTTTGGCCATGTTTCATTACAACACGATGGTCCAACGACGCTCGATGCCTGACGTCGACAGAGGATGAGCCCTGGTCTGGCTCCAAGATGGCTCCACGTTCCCAGTCGTTGCACATCGACTTGGGGTGTCCCCATCAGTCATATACAGGCTGCAAGAACGATGGTGAGCGACCGGAAGGGTCCAGAACAGTCCTTGACCAGGGCCGCCCCGTTTGACCAACGACAGCATCGACCGGGTTCATCGTCAGACAGGCCGTGACGTCACGAACCACTACTGCAAACGGCATCAGGGACCAACTACGGGTGACAGCCAAAGTCCTCGAAAGCGAGGAGACGGTGGGGAACTGTATCCGTAGAGCCAAGTTCGCTTCTCGCGTCCCTGCCAGGCGCCCAAGGCACACGCCGCCCCACAAAGCAGCTGGCCGGGCGTAGTCTGCTCGTCATTCACAGAGGACACAATGTCAGTGGGACCAGGTAATCCTTTCGGACGAATCCAGATTCAACCTGCTGCACCCAGACAGGCGAGCCCACGTCTGGAGGCGCCGAGGAGAGCTGTTCCACCCTGAGTGCATCCAGCAGGTGGAGCCCTACGGTGGAGGGTCCGTTCTGGTATGGAGAGGCTTCTCAGCTCACCACAAGACCCCCTGTACCATATACAGGACAATTTGACCGCGCAAGTTACAGGGAGGAAATTCTGTGTCCCCTTGCCGTTCCTCTCCAGCAGCAGATTAGACCCCTGACAGTACTGCAGGACGACAACGCCGCGCCACATTGCGCATGCGTCGTGGGGGACTTCCTGCAGCAGCAAGCTGTCACCCGCATGGACTGACCACCTTGTGGTCCGGATTTGAACCCAAGAGAGAACATTTGGGATCACATTGACCAGTTGATAAGGGACAACCTCCTTCCTGCACAATACTTTCAACAGCTCCTGGGCTGCCTAGTCCTGGAGCGGAAGAACCTACCGCAACAAGTTCTCCGAAGGCATGTCCTGCCCATGCGTCGACGTTGTGCCGAGTGTTTGATCAAACGGAGTGGCCACACCCGCTATTGACATTGTTCATGAAAAACTATGGCTGTTCAGACTTTTGAAATCCGACCAGAGTGACTTAAACTCATTTTACATGAACTTCTCGGGGTTTTTTTTTAAATCTGAAATTGTACACACTTAATCAATAACACCAATGGCATCAACGCGGACATCAAAGTCAGGGGTGAGAAACTTGAGACCGTCAACAGCTTCAAATACCTCCGATCAATCGTCTCAGATGAAGGCTCAAGACCAGAAATTCTCTCCGGAATCGCGCAAACAACAGCTGCGCTATTAAAACTGAAGCCTATTTGGAGGGACAGAAACATCACGCACAACTCAAAAATTAGGCTAATGCGCTCACTGGTCATCTCAATATTTTATACGCCTGCGAGTCGTGGTCACTAACAGCAGAATTAGATAAAGCGATTCAGACCACAGAGATGAGATGTTACCGCAGACTCTTTCAAAGACCACGTTTCAAACGCTGAAGTACGAAAGAGAATCACCAACGCAGTGGGGCAAAATGAAGATCTACTGACCACAGTGAAGAGACGAAAACTAAAATGGTATGGGCATGTCACAAGATCCACAGGACTTGCCAAAACAATCCTGCAAGGAACCGCACAAGGAAAGAGAAAGAGAGGAAGGCAGAGAAGGAGATGGGAGGACAACATTACAGAGTGGACAGGAAAGACGATGGGTGACAATCTGAGGAAAGCAGAGAACAAAAATAGATGGCGAGAGCTGGTTTTAGGATGCAGTGGTGACCCCACGGTTGCCCCAACCACGGGATAGAAGAAGAAGAAGAAGAAGAAGAAGAAGAAGAAGAAGAAGAAGAAGAAGAAGAATCTAAGGAGTCGAAAGCATCTTTTTTGAAAAAATGAATAAATTCGGTTAAACTGTTCTTCAGTTTTCTTTCCTTGAATTTTTGTTCCTTGACTTTTTTGTGCGAGTTTAGATGTAGCACGGTGTTGCTGGTTGGGTTACACCCGTACACCTTAGTTCAGAATAGAAGTTTGTATTGTGGATAGTGAGTGAGTTGTATTAAGAATACATGTATTAACAAGCTTTATTTCATTAAATGAGAGCGATTGCCTTATATCATTTATAACTGACCTCCAAGAAGTCGGGACGTCTGCCGAAAAGATGCTGAATTATTGTTATTTCTTGCTTGTCTTCATTCATCATAGCCGCTTGCAGTTGTATTCTCATACAAAAAGATCTTCATTCTTTCTGAACCGTTGGATGGGTAATGTATGCTTTGCTTCGCACTTAAAACCTTTATAAAGCTGGAAATGCTGACGTTCATAGGTTTCAAACAAAACATGCTGCAGCAAAGCAGGGAATAGGCTTACAACTTGTAAGAGTTATATTAATATAAAATGTCTTTACAACCACCCATCGTTGCAGTTTAGATCTTTTAGAAGGTAGGCTTTGATACTGCCCGACAGGGCCAACCCGGGTTGAGAGGGACACAATGTCATAGCAGAAAGACTGAGATACTCGATAAAATAATATGTTCACCCCACTTGGGAATCGAACTCTAGTCTTCTGCATGCGACGGCCAAGCTCTTAATTGGTACTGTGTTCGATTCCAGTGTGGTGAGAGTTTTAATAGAGTATCTCGGTTTCTCTTCTGGGACGTTGTATTTCTCTCAGCTCGGGTTGGCCCTTCTAAATATCTAATTTGTGTCGATGGGGGCATAAAAAACACAAGCATCTACAGTTCTGTCGCAGACCTGTGTTACAACGTAGCTACCGCACTGTTTCTACTCAATGAGAGAGGTAGATATGTATACAGAATTCAATAAGCACATGCTGGGGGGGGGGGGGGGGGTGTAGATCTAGGCTGCTTCTCTAAATCAAGCATTCTTTGTTTGTAAGATCAACGATTCGTCTATAGCATTGTGTAGCTAATATAATTGCTTGATTGCTTGATTGCTTGATTGCTTGATTGGTTCATTCATTCATTCATATATTCATTGGTCGGTCGGTCAATCGCTTAGTTAGTTGGTTGGTTGGTTGATAGCTCTAACAAGTAGGCTAATAGGCAGACTGTTTCATTCACCAGGGCGCACTGCTACTCCCGGCTTCACCGCCTACTCGGCCTCCAAGTTTGCTGTCATTGGCTTCTCCGAGAGTTTAAGGCGGGAAATGGCGCACTTCGGGGTCAAAGTCATCACTGTGGAGCCTGCAATTTACAAGTATGTTCAGCTGTCAGTCAGGGATTTTCAAATCGACTACTCAGTGTAAGACTCTGTCATAAGTCACTTTTCAAAATAGCGTTTGTCGGAGTCTTACACTAAGCAGTCGAAATTTAGCTCGTGTGGAACTTTTGTCACCTCATACTCATACTCATACCTTGATTAGTCACAGTACCAGCAGTCTAATCTTTCCCTTCGTTTTTCCACTTCGTGTAGAAATGTATCGGGGGAAAATGGAAAAACACGTTAACTGCGATTAACTTCTGAATCAGACTTCGTGTCGAAATGTATTGGAAGAGAGAAAAAAAAACGTAAATTGTGATATATTAATATTTTATGAATCAGATTTCGTGTAGAAATGTATAGGAAGAAAATAAAACACGTGAATTTCGAGATATATAACTAACTTGTGAGTCAGACTTGATAGCCTAGCTCCACTGGAACTATTCCAGACTCAATCTCGAGTGCAGTTGAAACTGCTTGACTGAGACGGCCACCCATTGTTGAGGAGAAAATTGGTTATCTTAGACATGTGGGCGTCTTACACAGTGTCATTATAAGTATGTATCTTTTTAAGACGCTAGGGAGAAAATGACAAGAGTGGCTGTTTGTATTGTACAGGTGAATCTCTTATATATATATATATATATATATATATATATATATATATATATATATATATATATATATATATATATAATAATAATAATAATAATAATAATAATAATAATAATAATAATAATAATAATAATAAATAATAATAATAGATAGCATTTGTATAGCGCATATCCCCGCTCAACAGCAGGCTCTATGCGCTTAACACTATATTACTTCTTCTTCTATATATGATAGATAGATAGATAGATATAGATATAGATATAGATATAGATATAGATATAGATATAGATAGATAGATAGATAGATAGATAGATAGATAGATAGATAGATAGATAGATAGATAGATAGATAGATAGATAGATAGATAGATAGATAGATAGATAGATAGATTTATACATGTGGCCGTTACAATAGGTCCATCTCTATAACATGTATTGTTTTCTTCCAGGACTGCTTTGTCTTCCACGACCAACTTCCTGGGTCAATGCGAGGAGTTCTGGGCCCAGGCAGAGCCAGGAATAAAGAGAGATTACGGGGAGCCTTATTTCCTGGCCACGCAGGTGAGAAAAGGTTGTTGTTGCACTTGTGCAGACAGCAGGCAGGCAGGCAGGCAGGCAGGCAGGCAGGCAGGCAGGCAGGCAGGCAGGCAGGCAGGTAGGCAGGCAGGCAGGCAGGCAGGTAGGCAGGCAGGGGGGGGGGGGCTGTGAGAAAATTTGACACACAGAACCAGGAATAAAAAGAGATTGAGGGGAGCCTCAGTTCCTCTTTTTCTTGACAGTGGGTGGACGTTTTAGATAACTTCGTTTGTTCTTGCACATGTACCAGCTGAGCAGAAAAAAGTTCGAGCAAGAAAATGTTTCTAATTTTCTTGTTTTTTTTGTTTGTCTGTTTTTTTTTATTGACATCAAAATAATTACTTTCGCAGTCAAGATTATCAGCTGGCAAAGTCTCCCAAATCGACCTGTGTAGTATTTGCTCGGGCATTCGGGATAGATATCTGTATCAAACCCAATGTTCCAAGAAAAAAGGTCCACTTTGAAAAGAGCTGTAAATTTTGAACGGTTTGGGCACATAGAAGACAAGAACTTGCATTATAAAGTCCTGCGTAACACACGGTAGGCAGCTTGTAAAAACAACTCTTGAAAAGTTTAGGGTGGTCCTTGTTTCGGTGATCTATCAGGGCTACAAGTTCTGGAGAAGCTTGAGACTATTAATTTTTGATGATGTAGGGAGAAAGAACCAGTACTTTCAGCGAGACGGGACTGCTCCCCACGACGCCAGAGCCGTACTGCAATAGATCAGCAACCATTTTGATTACAGTTACAGAACAGTCAGACCGACTGAGCACACAACTGGACCCCATACAATCCACTTCACAAGAGCAGTGCCAACGCTCAATTGGTAATTTCGCTCAACGTGTCAGAATGTGCTTCACTCGAAATTGGAAGTATCTGGAAGAGATCTTATAAATGAATACCTATATTAAATCTAGACGGATGTTCCACATTTCTGCAAACTGTGGTGGTTGTACCTTTATTCATATATAACTGTTTTATTGGCCTTCATTTGGACGAACTTTTTTCCGGTCACCTGGTACATGACATTGTGTATTTACTTTTACATTACCCAATTGTCGCCCTTCCAATAGTTTTTGTCTTTCGCTTGTTGCTGCAGGAGGCCAAAAGTCGCCTGCTTCAGTGGACTAGCCCAGCTCTAGACGAGGTCGTGGACTGCTACATGCATGCAGTCGCCTCTGTCCAGCCCCACAGTCGTTACGTCCCACCCTGGAAGCTACAGCTACTGAATGACGTCATGAACATGCTGTGGAACAGCGTTCAGGACCGGATCCTGGCGGCTGTTATGAATATCCGAGCTAAACCAGACATGTTGAGACCTATCCAGAACGGTCGGACCGGGCGGAGGAGAAGTCACGCTACATAAAATGATTGTTCACTTGGGGAAATATGACCCTATATTAATGGATTAAATTACTGTATCTAAGGGCTTAGAAACACGCTTTTTTTTTTTTTTTTTTTTTACTTGTTTGTTTGTTTTGGGGGGGGGGGGTGTTTGTTTTTTGTTGTTGTTGCTTTTTTTTTTTTTATTCCAAGTTTCGGAGTTTGGTGGATGAATGTATGTATACTTTGAAGAAAATTCGAAAAAAGTTGCCTAACGGGCAGGAAAATGTGGGTTTCTATTATTATTTTGACGAAAGCTTGATGTCACCACGTCTCCCGTATGTAATTATTATTGCATTTTCCTTATGAGGTATCTGATTTGACACTTAGATTGTTCATTAGGGCGGAGTGCGCCCACTTTACCGTTCGATAAACCTACGGAAGAATTTGCCAAATACCCATAGCATAAAAGTGAAAAATGGCCCTGACTGTAGGGTTGAAGCAACCTGCCTACCAAATTACAGTCATGCAGTCTATTATGTTTTGTTTCTTTGATTCTTTATTTATTTGACTTATCTATTTATTTATCTTATTTTATTTCTTTATTAATTATTTTTATCTTTATTTTATATAACTTAACAAATATTTTTGGGGGGAAGGGCAGGTGCAACATTCTGTTGTTAGGAGCCTCTGCTCTTCGACACAATACATTGTAAAGTATGCCATTTCCTTCTCGTTTGCAGTAAATGTATGTTCCGTGTATTCTGTTCTTACTGCCACAGAGGAGAATACTGTTGCCAACAGCATATACCACTATTTGAAAGTTTATGTGTACATTTTATCTAAAACATTGATTTTCAAGAGGGCGTGGGCTGCCTTGATTATAGCGGGCCTTGACGTGTTGCTGAAATATTCATGCACGTCCGTACCATTCTACGACAAAACAGTTGGCCAACTTTTTTTATTGGCGTGTTTTTTGACAATGAAAATAAAAGAAGCATGACTAAATACAGAAGAGTCCGTTTAAGCCGAACACTGTTAATCCGAAAACAGCGGTAAACGGAAAGAAGATAAAATCGTCGCTTGCTGTTTCTTCGATCTGAGCAACCTCTCTAAACCTTAAACTTAAACACGTCTAAATCGAAAAAAAAGTCCGGCTGTCTGTAAGAATAAGCGGACTCCACTGTGAATTGTGTTGTGTTGATGCGGTAGTGCAACAGTAGGCTTCTCCTTTCTTCATTGTTCACAACTCACCGTATGTTCCATCTCGTCAGTTGCGGTCAACCACAGACGCAGAAAAAATTCAAAGCCCCTAAATAAAATGAAATTAAGATCTATTGGTGAGAGATGTTTCTTATTTTTTGGCCTTAAAATGTGGGACTCTTGCTCCAGAACCTCAGAGAAATAACAACTCTTGACTTGATACCTTAACCCTAAGCGATTGCTCAAGACCCGCTTGTTTAATTCCTAGTTGTAGTTTGTTAGTAAATGCTGATATGCTTTGTTTTTATTGCTGTTCTTGCGTGTATATAATTAATGTATGGTTGTGAAAGTTCCTCTTTATGTGGTTGAACTGGTTTTCTTGTTATTGTGAAATGTTTTATCTTCCGTGAATAAAAATTTACGTTCAGTGACCATGTGATTGATGTAAAGCGCTTAGAGCTTATATTCGTAGGGTATAGAGCGCCATATAAATGAAATTTAATATATTATGTATTATAAAACCGGTTGACCAAGTTTTATAATGTCGAGGTATTAGGCTTAGATCTATGCTGTTTGGGCAAGTGAACAGACCAGATACCACCCACACAGAGGGGTCAAAATACTTAAATGTCGTTTTAATCTTGGTTTGTTTGTTTTTTCCCGATGCATTTCTGTGTTTTTTCTTCACCAATTCTTACAAGTTTAATTGTAAAAATGTAGAAAAATTAAGGAACGGCGTGGAGAAAAAGAGGATAGGTTGATTTTGTTTGTAAATGATTTTTTAAATGTGTTTCTTTTGTGGTTGTTGTTTTTTTTTGGGGGGGGGGGGGGTTGTTTTTTTTTACTAATTTGGTTGGGGAGTGGGGTTGTTGTTTAGTTTGCTTTATTTAGCGTTTGACCTCTCTTGGAAATCAATGAGATACTGAAAATGGACACCCTGCTTTAGTTTGGAGAATCTCAATAATCAATATATTAAGATTATAATGATTTTTTTCCGCTTCCATTTATTTATTTTTTCATCAATAATAATTGTTCATGTTTTAGAGAGATAGGTCTGTATATTTTTAGTTAACACTCCATTAGATCTAACTATTGAATGTGTGAAAAATAAATTGTCACCATTACAATATTGTTTTCGTCTGTCGCTTTTATAAATTGGTGTTTTAGATGTTGAGACGGTATTTCACTTATTTCTGAGGGTGGCATAATCTGCAATTGTAACATTTTAGTGAACTCTATAGTCAGTTGGTGAGGTGTTCCTATTAACAACACCAACATCCACTGAGCACTCTCTCTCTCTCTCTCTCTCTCTCTCTCTCTCTCTCTCTCACACACACACACACACACACACACACACACACACACACA